TCATTGCTTATTTTTCCTTCATTTAATAACAGTTTTAATGATTTTATTGAATCGGTTCCACCAGAAACTAACTTCTTTAGTAGTGACATTGATAGCAATGGGAGTTGTTTCAAAAGAAGGGAATAAGCTTGAAATGATGAATATCTTTGCATAAGTGCAAAACGTAATACTTGTGAAGAATATGGAGGACGACCTTTGGATTTGTAAAAAATTAAATTTGATAGTTCATTAACTAAACCATACGAATTTTCTTCAACAAGGTTGTGCATATAAGACACCAAATTATTTAAAATTGATAAACTTGTAAGGTTACAATTGTTAATTGTTCTAAACCATTTAGGGAGTGGAAGTGGAGAACTTTTATAATGTAACTTTACGTGCAAATTATTATTGATGCCTATTGATTCAATAAATGGAGTTGTGTCTACAAAAAATAAACGATAATATAAAACAAAACTTTCATATCTTTGCAAACTAAATCCATTTGGAGAGTTAGATTCATGAAGCATATTAATGTTTTTTATTTTATCCATTTATTGAAATGTATGAATTTTATCTGGGATGGTAGAATGTCGGTCAGTTGGAGGTTTACGAAAAGCAGGAATTTTAGGTATTGTAGAAGATGGAATAGAAATTTCATCAGAATAAATGGTTAGAACAAGGTTTAGCTCATATTTTAAAGAAACTTGTTTTCCATACTTTAAATACTTTTTTTCAAAATGGTGCAAGCATATAACTGAATGTTTGCTTGGTTTCCAAGCTTTTCTGTTAACAAATTTCATCCATTTTTCTTCTAAAACAGTATCTTTAGGAAAACTAAAAACAGCTTTACTTGCACTAAGAGAACTAGATTCATTTTTTTTAGATTTATTTGACAGTTCGACAATTAAAAACAGCACATTTGTTCACCATTATATCCAAAACTAAATTTCCAACTTAATCAATATCTCCCAAAATAAAATTTAAACAATATTAACTGGCAGTATGAAAAATAACTGAAATACTAAAAACTGGCTTCTAATTTTTGGCCTATTTATGCAAAATATCCGGCCGTGTATAAAGTAGTATGTATATATATGTGTGTGTATATATGTATGCATTTATTCTAAGGTGATCTTACATTGAATCTTACTAACATACCTCGTCCATCTAAAACCTCAGTACAATGCAACATGGAAATTATGAATAATGAAAATCGAGATTCTATTTTTAAGAAGAAATTGATTAAAGGTTAGTTTCTATTATAAAAACTTAGTTTGCTTTTGACTTTTAAAATTTACATATACTATAGTGCTAATTTGTTATTTACAATTAAAAATATAACATGTAGTTTTCAATAATTAAATTTTATTCATTTATTTGTATATTAACTGTCCCTTAAAGTAATGTTACATATTGAGGTGTTGCATTATACATTTCAGTTTGGTTACAAATGTTGTTTTTATTTAATTGAAGCGTAACATTTTTATGTAACAAAATGTAGTAATATAACGTGTGGAAATGCGTGGTATTTTATAAATGAAATAGTACAACAAATAATTTTAATAATAAAATTAATAAAAATATAAAAAAAAGTTAGAGCAGTCATATATTTAAGAATCAGAAGGAATAACTCTTTATCATTATGAAAAATAATACTTAAATATTAAAACATCCCTGTTGAACAAAAATGTAAATAAATTATTGACATTTCATACACATTTTGGTGGGTTTATAAAAACTCAAAAATGTAATTTTTTTCCCATTACAAGCTGACTAATTGTGACAAAACAATTATAATTCACAGTTAGTATAGTTAGGTATACTCAACCAAGATGTAACATTTTTACAATACACAACAGTATTATCTCTCCTTCTGAATTTCTTATATATAATGAGTAATTCAAATAATCAGGGTTGCCATCTGGTTTTTTTCAAGCCAAATTTCTCAAAGCTGGGTTGTTTTTTTAAGTTTTTTGCTTGAAATTTTTTTCTGGTTTATATTAGAAAAATCTGGTTTAAATCTGGCTTTTTTTAACAGTATTTGGTTATTGTTTTTTTCTTTCTTTCTTTAAATTGGGTTTAATTCAGGTTTATTTTTTGTTAAATCAATAATGTTTAATCAAGTAATAATCATATTTAATCAAGCTTTTTTGCTTCATAAAAAAAGTGAAATAGAGCAAAATAAACAAAAATGAATGGTAATATATAAAAAAAAAAAGAGCCAAAATGAGTGAAAAACTTTTTTTGTTGTTTTTTACAGTTTTTTTAAGGAAATTCAAAGAATGGAATAAATTCTCATGGGTAAGTTTTAACAAGTTCAAAAAATTTGGTTGCTCTTTCTTCAAAAAGTTATTGAAAGTTCACTAACTATTTTTAAATAACAACTGTATAATCTTCTTAAAATAATAAAAAAAAAGTTATTTTAAAAATTGATCTATTTGCTACATATCTTATACTTGATACTACGTAGCTTATACTTGATTTTTTGTTTTAGATTAGCATCTTTAAATTGATCAAAAATGAAAAAAACCAAAAAATGAAATGAAAACTCTTTTAGTTATGGAAGGAAGCAAGAAAAAGAATTTTCCTGGGTAAAAAAAATGCTCTAATGCATCTGAACAAACTTTTTGTCGTCTCCACACAAAGGTAGCTTACAGCAACATCAAAACAGCTTCACACATTAAATGAGAAAATACTTTGAATCTGTTTCAAAAGAAGATTAATTTTCTGGGTCAATCTTGCAATATGTGTGAGATTTTTTTCAGAAAAAGAGAAACAGATTGTTTATGACTTTCTTGGTCTCATTCAAGTGATTTCAACATCTGGCGAAGATCTCTTTAATGCCTTGAATTATAAACTCAACTCTATTGGAACTCTTCAAAACTGAATCTCTTTTGAATCTCTTCAAAACTGAATAGGATACAGTTCAGATAGTGCTTCAAATGTTATTGGCATACATAACTCAGTCTGGTCTCGTATACTAAATCCCCAAACTGTATTGTGATGAGGTGCAATTGTCACTCCCTAAATCTTGTAGTGCAAAATGCTTTTAATGCATTTATCTCCAATTGGGTTTCTTCTGAGTGATGGTCCCTGGTTTTTTAACAAGAGCATTCTTCGTCGAAATGAGTATAAAAAACTATTTGAAGTCATGAATCCAAACAATAAACGAGTGGGAACCCAATTCCCTTTTTAGTGGTTTTTTACAACTTCTTTGTTTGTTCAAGGAAAGTGTCAACTTGCTTATGATTTGACAAGAACTAAAAACATTCTTTATTTGTGCTAAAATAAGTTCAAACTCTGAGGTTTGTCACAAAATCTCTTCAATAAGCAAAATGTTCTGAGACAGCACCATTTACCATATGTTGTTTTTCTCATTCCAGTTACTCAAGAGCTTAAGCGCCTAAACTCTCTCTTTCAAGGGTCAAATGTTGAACCAGAAAATCTAATGAGTGGACATCCAAAAAGCTTGAAGCAGCATATTTTTGAAACCAAGGGCATTGTACTCCCTCTTCAGTGCATTGAGCCAAAGTTCTCCTCAGAGTGCCAGATTTACATTCAAGGACAACCTCCAAATGCAAAACTGAATGCTGGAGAATCAGTCAAAAATGTGAAAATTTGCTATAATGATTTTTTTCAGAAAGACAGATCAATTTTTTACAGTGTGCCAAATCTGTCTCCAATGAAAGTTCTTTCCCAAGTTGAAAAGTTTTTATTTCAAAGCTATCTTTTTCTCACCTAATGGGTACAAAAAGTCAAAAAATTGAAAACCAATACAGAAAAATCAGTATGAAGAATGGACTGAGTTTGAAATTTTTAAAGAAAAAGAAGTTCCTAAAAATACTGCTGAATTCTGGATAGCTTTGAGGGGTTATGTCAACATTTTTAGACATTTTTACAACATTTCCAACTACTGCCTAGGCTATCTTGCTGTGTTTCTGTTTCTAACTGTTTTGTTGAGAGTCTTTTCACAGGTCATCTATATGAAACGCAAACAGAGAAACAGAATGTCAAACCAGGTGTTGGATACAGTCATTCACATAAAATCTTATTTAATGAGCTAAAAGATTTGTTGTAAAGACTTTAACATTTCTGATTTAATAGTCCCAATAGTTGGAAATTAAATTTATGCAACAGATGCATGTGAAAATGAAGACGACTTTCATGTATTGGCAGAACTTTATTAAATGTTTAAAAATTACATATTGATGCCTTTTTTTTTATTGTATTTAAGGAGAGAATAATACTTAACCAAATAAATTTTTAGATAAAATGGTTCTACTTTAGTTGTTTGTTTTTTTTGTTTGTTTTTTTGATCTGATTTTTTTTTTTTTTTTTTTTTTTTTTGGCTTGTTGCAGGAAAAAAAACCTTGCAATCCTGAAAATAATACTATAGCAATACTGCAACTTAAATCTAACATTTATACATTATATTATATTTTAACACTATATTTACCAGAATTACAACGTTGTAATAAGGTTAGTTACTCTAACATTATTTTTTATCAGAATTACGTTATAATAACGTTGGTTACACTAATGTTATTTTTATCGGAATTACAATGTTGTAGTAACGTTGGTTACACCAACACAACTTCTTATTGGAGTTACTATGTTATATACACATATAATAATAATATTCACAACAAAATTTCATGTTGGATATTATTACAATGTTATAAAAGCTATACTTTCATTATTTTTAACAAACACTTTTTTTCAATGAGAATTTTATGTTAAATTCAACAAGGTAAATATTTATGTGTTTAAGAAAGAAATTTTTTTTATAAAACATTAGTATTTATTATTAAATTTTTCCTAAACTAATATGATTGTGTAGCATAGTAGCAAGCACAATCTATTGTACAGCATTCAATCCGGGTTTGAGTTGCGATGACTGCCAAACTTGACTTAAAAAACACATTGCTTTTACATCAAGTAAAAAACAACATTGATTAATATTGATTCATGATATATAATGTTATAACATTCGAAAATCAAATGTTGGAAAATCTTACGTTATTCATCCTTTCCATTTCCAACGTTATTACAACCTAAATAATAACATTATTTAACGCTCTTCTGATATTGATGTGTCCACTGGGTTAGGTCTCAATTGGTTATACTTTTAAATTGTCTATATATTTTTAAAATGTTATCAATTAAAATGTAGCATAACATAAAAAATGTTATAAGGATTAACTAACAAAACTATGTGTCACTTGTTTGCGAACTGAAACTTTATTTATCTTTTGTGACACAATTAAGTAAACAGTTTAGACAAAACTTTTGTACATTAAAATTAAAGTAAAACATGATCAATAGCAATATGACAAAGAAAAACAAACATTTTGTTTCAAAGTTTATTTATATATAAGTAAAAAAACTTTGTTACCAATTGTAACCGATTATGTAAACTTTGTTACCAATTGTAAATGATTTGAGGAGTAACTTTACTTTAAAATATTTTAAGGTTATAGTTTATTAAAAATGTTAAATATGTTTTTATTCCACTTTAATTTTTTTTTAAATTTTTATTTATTTATTTAATTTTTTTTTTGTTTTTCCAATGTGAATAATTAACTGAAGGAGTCCAAAAGTAAGCAACTTTTGGACTGCCTTAAGTTATGTAACTACTTTTAGGAAATTTTTAAAAGTGGACTTAGACAATTGAGTATTTTTAAAAGTGGACTGGGTAGAAATTTTTAAAAGTGGACTGGGTCTGGCAATTGAGTATTTTGCCTATTTTTGATCAAGGTTTAGTAATTCTCTATGCAATGAAAGATAGTTTAAATATTTGTTTAGAACCATTTCTTCGATTCCTATTTTGTTTATTCTTTATTCTCTTATTTTTTGTTCTCTTGGTTTGTTTTAAATTAAATTTCTCTCTTTTCTCAATTTATACTTTTGTTGTACTGATATTCTTAAAGTTTAAACCTTATCTATAAGTCTAAATTTTAATTTTTAAGGATCTTTGTCTTAGTGATTTATTTTTTTAGTGTCCTTAATAAAGAAATATCTTTAGCATGAATTAATCTTATTAATTAAAAAAAGAAGACAGAATTTTTTGTTAAGCTTTTTTTTTTTAATTCTAAAAGCCACATTCTTCATAAGTTCACTGTCAAATGAAACCTCATGAAAGGACAATAAATAGAATCTCAATGATGACAAATGGGACTTGCAATATGGGATGATTCTTTTTAAAATTTTAATCACCTCTACATAAAATTATTTTTTGTTTAATACTTCTGAAGTGTTTAGTTTGAACAACGTATTTATCATTTTTTTTATTGCTTGTCAAAACTTTTTGTGTTTGATATTATCTAACAATAGATTTTTTTTTTTTGTCTAAAGAATCTGTGCTTTGATTTTTTTGATTCGAGTTATTGCAGTTTTTGGTGTCTTCTTTTAATGGCTATTAATAGAAATTATTTTTTAAACTGTTAGAAATAAAATTGAAATTACTAGAAAATATATATATATTTTTTCTAGTAATTTCAATTTTATTTCTAACAGTTTAAAAAATTAATATATATATATATATATATATATATATATATATATATATATATATATATATATATATATATATATATATATATATATATATCCATATAGTGTAGTCGAAAGAGCGTTTTAATGTAAAAAAAGTCTCTTACGACTACAATTTTAATTACCTCGTCTCTTAAGCTGTATTTGATTGTCGTCGAAATGTCAAAGCAATTAAATTAATGCGGAAGTACATTAAATTTTATTGTTTTTTAAAATTTTTTTTAAAAAACCGCAATTATAACGAATAGAAAGTTTTTTTTTATTCGTGATGTTTTTTTTTTTATTTTATTTAAAAATATTTTTTAAACATGCGTAAATGTTGCTACATCGACTATCTTATAGCCTGACTCGCAACGGAGTGCTGCTACATCGACTGACAAATAGCCTGACTTGCAACGGAGTGCTGCTACATCGACTGACAAATAGCCTGACTCGCAAGGGAGTGCTGCTACATCGACTGAGGGTTTGGTTTCGGCAGGCAGTCTATCATTTTTAAAAAAAAAAAAAATTTAAGTTTTTAAACTTTTTCTGGTCTGGTTTATTAACGCGCTCTTTAAAACTACAGTTTATGGGAAACTCTTTTCAACTACCATGCAAGAGTATATATATATATATATATATATATATATATATATATATATATATATATATATATATATATATATATATATATATATATATATATATATATATATGTATATATATATATATACATATATATATATATATATATATATATATATATATATATATATATATATATATATATATATATATATATATATATATATATATATATATATATATATATATATTAATTTTTAAATTTTTGGTTTTCTGACAACTTTTCTTACTTATTTAACAGTATTTCTAATGAATAAATTTATGTAAAATGTTGTATATAGTATTTATATAAAAATGCATTATATAATAATAATATAAAGATATTTATACTTTTTTTGTTTGTTTAAAATTTATTTTTATTGCTAAGTCAAAGCTTATATATGTTCCCTACATGAAACTATTTTTGTAATATCAACTAAAATAAATCGGTTGCTTAAAAAAAATTTTTTTTGTTTACTTTTAGTCACTGAATAAACTTTCAAACCCCCTTGAAATTTTTGGAATAGTCATGGAAAAATATTATTTTGCAAATAAAAAAATAAATTGCAAAAGTATTATAAATTTTTTTAGTTTAATGCCATAGTAATTTATTGTACTAATCTTTTTTATAGTAAATTTGACAGTAAAAAAACAAATTTATAATTTTAATTGAATTATAAATTTTTCAGTTTGGTTGTATATATATATATATAATTAAGTTATAAATTTGACTGAGATTTCTATTTTTACTTTAAATCTGTCAAGGTTTTTGCATTAGTTTTTTCATTTCAATTTTTTTTTTCAGAAATTTATTTATTATTATTTAATTAATTTACTTTCATAAATAATTTAATTAATTAATAATTTAATTAATTTAAATTCATAAATATTTTAAAATCATTTTTGTTAATTTTTATTTAATTTGTTTTATTTATAATTTTATTTAGGTTAGCTTTTTTTTTTAATTTGTTAAATTTTTTTTTTTTCAATTTCTTAAACTTAGTCTATATTAAATAATATAAAATTGACATCATATATTGACATAATATATTGACATCATATATTGACATCATATTTCCTTTAATAAAGCAATGTAACTTTAATTTATGCAACTTATAAAAAGACTGGTAAGTATTCCTTAAAAATATTTACGTTTTGAATTTTTTGTCTCTAATAATGGTGAACTCTCAAACTGTTCAGGGGGTAATCAAATGCTTTTAAATTAGAACATGCTAAGTAGGTTGATGAAATAATGGAAAAAAATATTAAACTAGGTCTTGAATTAATCGAAACAACCAATAAATTTTCCAGTTTAGAAAGAAGAGTAAAAAACTATAGAAGGGAATTCTGGAGATTTCTTAGCACTTTAAAACTCTGTATAGATTACAGCTAATGCAATGAATAAAAAATAATCACCAGACCAACTATTGTTAGTAAATGCAGCTTTCAAGGATCAAAATGAAAGTAAAAAAAAATAGAACCAAAAGTGTAATAGTTTATGGAATAGCAGAATCAGAAATTTTTTTACAATCTGAAAAAATTACAGTTAATAACAAAAATAAATGCTGAATTATTCAATGATCTTGGAGCAGATGTTAAAACAAAAAATATATGAAGATTGCGGTCAATATATATATATATATATATATATATATATATATATATATATATATATATATATATATATATATATATATATATATATATATATATATATACTGGATCCAATTTTAGTTGAGTTATAAAATGTTAGTATGTAAAAATCTTTTTTTGTCTAATACTTTACTTTATGATTTTATCAAAAAATTAAGAAGCGTTAGTAGCCTTTAAAATGTGTACATTTCAATTAATCTTACTGAAACAGAAAAAATGTTAAATTTTTAATTAAGGTAAAAAAGAAATAAGCCAAACTTTAAATTTGCTACATTTCAATGTTGAAATGTAGTATCTGTAGCAGTTTTGATACACAATTATAGGAAAGCAGATTTCAATTCAATTGTTTTCTAATATGGATTGGTTAACATGCTTTAATAGCAAATTATTCCAGGAAATGCATAATATATTTATTTTTTACATGATGTGGAGCACAAACTACATATTTTAGTTTAAAAATTAGAAACAAAAAAGAGAAAATATTTTGGTTAAAAAAAGAATTTTAAAAATTAATAAAAATTGAAAATTTTTTGCAACTGTTCATCAGAATGGAAAGTTACATCTCTGGTGAAAGAATACAAAAATATTTGCTAGTTTGAAACAGAATTAAGAAAAGCCAGATAGAATTATGAAAAAACCTAGTGATATCGACTAAAAAAAACTCAATGTTAATTTACAAGTACGTAAGTAGCCAACAACAGATTTATAATTATTTAGAGAATTATATGATAAAAATGGAATTTTTACAAATGACCCGATGATCAGAAAATCATCATTATAATCAAATAATCATCATTATAAGAAGTTCTTAAATGTTCTAGAAAATGATCTTAATTTTGCCTAATAACTTAGTAAATAATTCAAAGATGTATGGTAACGATGCTAAAGTATAATTAAGAATTGGTTCTGTAACAAGTTTTAACCATCTGCATAATGATCTAGAGAAAGCTATCAACTGGTTTAATGAATGGCTGCTAAAGTTTTTAAAGCTATCAACTGGTTTAATGAATGGCTGCTTAAATTTTAAGAAGTGTTTAATTATGAACTTTGGCAAACACAACTTAAACAAAATTTTTTTTGCGCGAAATATACCTTTATGTACCAAATTACTTTTTGTGCAAGCAAAGCAAATAAAGTTTTGGGTATTTTAAACAATACACTTCTAGATTTTAACAGTTAGTTACTAAAAATTATATCAACATTTTTGTTAGACTATTAATAGGATTCGATGTATCTGTGTGGTTTTCACATTTTGAGAATGAAATTAATATTTTAAAAAAAGTTCAGCATTGTGCTACAAAACTGATATTACCACAAAAATAGTTATGAAAAAAAAATAGGATAAGTTTGACCTTAATACTTTAGTTGTAAGATAGATTTGGAGTGATTTAATTCAAATGTA